GTGGTTCCATCTCGCGACACCAAAGAACTTACTCTAATCAATAGAAGCAATAAAAATCAATGACAATTAACCGACAATTAAATAAAGACAATCAAAGTTATCACCAAATCACAACAATTCTTGTGATTGTGATCAAGTGTAACTTTTGTTTCTCTTTTCTGAATGTAGGGGGCAGAGTTTTAGAAGAAACATTTTCTCATTTTTTTAATTGTTTCCATTTCTAAGTTAATTGAATTTTTTTAAGTGAAAAATAATCCAATGAGTGAGCAATCCGGTTGATCTTTTGAAAACTGTGTCAATTTTAATTGGAAATCAAATGGTTAATAGCAACGATGTTTTATCCAAAACAATCAATGTTAACAAAAGAAAGACTGTCAAGTGACAATTGAAAGAATTACATTCAAATTGTTAACAATTAAATGATTGTATTGATTAGTAGAAAAGGTGTAATGTTTTGGAGCAATTTACATTAATCCTTTTTCCTCTTTTTGTTTAATTGTTTCCATCTAATTGTATGAGTCGTGATGATTTTCCTGATGAATGGCAGTTGGTCTTGTCAAATTGTCTTTATGTGTTTTGTTTATCTTTCTTGGTTTAATTGCTTTTATCAGTATCTTTTGTTAATCAACTGACTAACAATCATCGTTAATTTTGATGTTTTTCTATCTGGAAATCGGTTTGTACTTTTGTTTCCTGTTTGTACCAATCAGTGTCAACGTTTTAACCAACAAGATGATTTCGTTACATAATTTGAGTATCTATTTGATAGATTTTCAGGTTATTTGTTTTTGATTAATTTCTCAATAATCAAACAATAATTTGGAATAGAATATACAAAAATTTGATCAATGAAATTTAAAAGAAAATGGAAGAGAAATGATTAGACTTTTATTCCTCTCGATAGTTTGAACATCATTAGTTCTCCTGAAAGTTGTGTCTTGACCATTCGTTTCTCTTTTAGTTTCTTCTTTTTCTCAGCTTTACGTCGGCGAGCAGCTTCTTTGGCTGCTCTGAATTCATCTTCGATTGACTTTATTCGTTTCTGATTTTGTTCGAATTCTTCTCTGACTTTGTCACCATCTTGCATTGATACTCGGGCTCTGGCTTGGGCACTTCTAAGTTCAATTTCCTTATTGTTGGCTTTACTTTGTAAAGTTTGAATTTTTTCACCATATTCCTTGTCCATGGTCTCTGTTTTCTTTTTTAAACTTTCAATATTTTCGGTCTTCTCCCTTATTTTTGTTTTATTTTCTTCAGTTTGAGATCTCATGGAAATTAGAGCTGCACTTTTCTTGGCGACTTTCTCTTGAATAGTAGAAAGTTTTTGTTCGAGCTCTGGTATCTCTTTTATTTTCTCCTTCATGGATTCAATTCTGTTTCCCATGGCAACATATTGTCTCTGTTTTTCTGTATTTGAACAAATCATGGCAGCCAATTTCTCCTGGGTGACTTCGTCAGCTTCTTTGGCTTTCAACTTTGCTTCAGCTATTTGTTGTTTTTTTTCTTTCATCTTTTCATCTTGAACCGCCAATTCTTTGTTCACTGCTTCAATTTCACGATCTTTTATATCACTTTTTACTCTTGTCTCGTCGAACTTTCCATTTAACTCTACAAGTGATTTTCGCACTGAAATTATTTCATCACTGTGTGGATCAAATGGACCCATTTCCTTTAGAAACTTGAAAACTTTCAAACAATCGTTTAAAATATCAGAAGCACTTCTCTTGTTGCTCGCATCAACTTTTTTCACCTTATTGGAATATCCATAGCCATTAATACTCTGGTTGGCTAAAGCAGCGAAAACCGTTGCACTTTCTCGATCTTCATCCATTCCAGCTTTTTCATTCCCAGACAAGGTCGCACTGACAGTAATCATCAAAGGTTTTATGTCTTTACAAACTTCTAGGTGAGCTTTACATCCAGATATGATTTTATTGATGGACTCCAATAGTTCACTTTCTAATTCTTTTTTTCTTTTCAACACTTGACCATCCGAGTTGATTTTATCACCAAAAGCTGCCAGTTCCGCTATATAGTTGAGTTTTACATTTTTCAATTCATTTTCAGCCGTTAATTGTTGAGAGGTAACAAAATCTTCTCTCAGAACCAAAATGCGTTCATTTTCAATTTGAATAATCTGCTGCAAAAATCTAGCAACATTTGAAGCACCATAATCAAAATTTTCCATCTTTTCAATAGACTCTGAGTGAGCAACATCAGCGCCAGTATCAATCATTTCACTTTCATTCATTTTTGATCCGAAATTATTTTCATTCGGATCCATTGTCACAGTAAACACTTAATAATTGAGAAAATAAAACCAACTAAACAATTAAAAAAAAGTAAAAATAAAGATGATTTATCAATTTAATCAATTGATTTAAAAAAAATTGAAAGACAATAACGAACAACTAGATTGATGGAAAATCGAATTTTCAAAAATTCTAAAAAGAGAACATTTTGCTTCAGAACTTCAGCGCCATCTCTTGTTCTATTTTCTACTTAAAGACCAAAGTTTTTTCTCTCAATTAATTAATAAATGTTTCCATTGTTAATTATCATGATTGCGATTGATTTACGAAAAGCTAAGCGAAGATCTCAAGAATATTTAACATTTCAATTTAAATAGATTTAATCACGTGCATGTCGAGAAATTTGTCATTGTAATTGATTGAATTTTATTGATCTTTCATGAAGATAATCAAGAAAATATTGGATATGTGACATTCCCTGCAATTAGTTGGACTAAGTAAATGATCTGATTGATTAATTGGTGATAACAAATTCGCTGATAATTTAATCATTTGATTGTCAGAATATTTTGGAAACAATTGTAGGTGTTAATTGTGAAAAGGAAATTATTGATTAGGTTAATGTTATTTGCGTGATTGTGATTAAGTTAAGACAAGGAAAATACTGTCAATTAAATTGAATATAATCAGATATTAATAGTTACACTTATTGCAGATTAAACTGACCACTGGTCATTAAAACTTATGCGCCATTTAAGGTTGATCATAATTTCTTGATTCAATCTAATTGCTTGGACCATTTAGTAAGTTTTAATTTGTATGTAAATCTGATTGTTAATTTTCACTTTTCCTTTTAATTTCGTTCGTTTAAATTTGATTGTTCAATCGATTAGATTGTTTGTTTTTGTGGTTTGAAATAAACAGAAACCTTGATTGTTTTAATCATGAGAAATGAAACAATATGTTTAGTCGTCTTAATGGTTAATCAACTATTTCTAATTGTGATGGTTGAATCAAGAGGAATATTCCCCCAATCTAATTGTGTTTTCAATTCTAATGGTAAATTATGTGAATCAATCACAGATGAGCTCAGGTAATTAACTAATTTGATTATATTTTATCTCATCTATATGATTCATTTTGGTTTTTTTTCTTAATTTTTTTTCAGTAAAGTAGAAAATGAGATAATCAATGAAGAAAATAATATTTATCATGATGATGACCAAGATGATTCGTTAATCAATGAATTTGATGATAAAATTGATTATCAATCAGTTCCAACGATTGAATCAACTCGAAATTGAGAAAGATGAAAAATCTAAATCAAGTGAAACCAAATTGGATCCATTGATACCATTGTTGACCCAAATTGCTGCTAAACGAAAACAAATCAACAAAAATCGTAAAGATGATCAAAAACAAACCCCCAATTTAAATTTCCAAACCCAAGGATGGCGTTAATTACACAATCAACAATTACAATGGTCAATTAAGACATAACCCACTGTAACAATTGATTATCATCAGATGATCAAACAAAAATTGACTAACAATTAGTATTAATATAATGTTACTGACCAAATAAACAAAATTGTCTCCCTCAAACCTTTCAATTTGATTTAAACAATTGTGAACCTTTAAAATGGGAAGAAAAATATAATTAAACTTCCAACAATTAATTTCCATTGATCATCAACCCAATCAAAATTTTGCTAAATTAAAGAAAAATTCTGTATTGTTTGTACTTGGAATATGCTCCAATCAAATGTTTAATTTAATTAGTTAATTGTGGTCAATTCATAGAGGAATTGCTATTTAGTTTCTTATTAAATTATAATCGGAATGAAAAAACATAAAAAGAAAAGAAGACAGAGAACAAAAAACGCGCTTTTTCTTAGTCCCTCTTAAAACCGACAGATGGAGCCACAAATCTGAACATGGGCCTTTCATTTTATTTCAGTTTCGGTTTCATTTTGATTCAATGATGTTGTTGAATTATGTTTAATTATAATTGTACTTGTAATCTTGTTTTAATTTTTGTTTATTATTTAATTTGATTTAATTGAAGGTGATTAGATTGTGGTCGTGAAAATGTCGACTAATATTCATAATCAGACTATCTCATCAAGTGGAACTGTTCTCACTGTAACAAGACCAGTCTCAAGTCAGAGTGGATCAAATCAACAGCCACAGATATTGTCTGTTGTGTCTAATCCAAGTAACCAGGCTAATTTTTCACAAGTTGTTTTAACACCTAGTCGACCAGCATCTAATACCGTTACTGTGACACCCGCCTCTGTATCAGCTCTTAGTCACCAAAGAGGATCACAACCTCGGGTAATCAATTTAAATCAACCATTAAGGTTGGGAGGTCAGATCCTCACTAGACCGACCATGACTCTCAATCAGGTAATACATTGTTCACTCTTCCTGTTACTTTTCACTTTTCTCTTCATTCTCTAGTTTTCTTTTTATTCTGTTTTCTTAATCAATTTTTCTTACAATTTTATCCTATCATTTACACTAACGTATAGAGAATATTTATAATATTCCATCAATTGATAAAAAGTGAAACGCCAAGTTATCCTAGTGAAATTTTGATTCTTTGTAAGAACGAAATTATTCATAGCGGGAATATCATCTCAGTTTCTACTTCCCTTTTTCTTGACCTTTTTTTCTTCAATTACCAATTGAATTTTTTTCTCCATGTTGACTGATTTGTTTTTTCTTCATTTGTTTTTTCTTTCTTTTAGAACTTTCCAGTGGCTAGAAATACATTCATTATTAGAGATGGTACATTACAATTTCTGAATATGAATCACAATTTAACTCAATCAAATCAACCACAGACCCTTAGATTACAGACTATGGTACCTCACTCAACTAATGTGGGGACAACCATAAGAGCACCTCAAATGACAGCTATACCCAATTCTTCAGTGATTACATCCAGAAGTGGCAATTGACATTCCACCTCCATCCTCACCAAGTGGACCAAACACTTTGGAGCTACTACAACGAACCACCGAACAGGCTCTTCAAAATACTATGCAGAGAAGTTCATTTCTAATGAACGGTCTAAGTGACCTGGAGGGAGCCGATTTTCTCAAATTTCGTAAAGATGGCAAAGAAAGTGATTCCAATTATCGGCATCGTTGTCGATTCTGTGGTAAAGCTTTCGGCTCCGATTCAGCCCTACAGATACACATTCGTTCACATACCGGAGAAAAACCTTTCAAATGTAAAGTTTGTGGTAACCGTTTCTCCACCAAGGGTAATCTTAAAATTCACGCTGAAAGACACACCGATAAATACCTTAGACTCTCCAATGGTGATTCTGAGGGAGAAGATGAGAAAACCAATGATGGAACCTCTCATCATGGTGCTAACAATGGTCAATCTTATGGCAATAATAGTAAAGTGGGTGATGAATTTGGAGAGGAAGATGAATCAATGTGCTCATCAACCAATGGTGGTAATCATCTGAGTAAAATGAACTTAGATCCATTCTCATCTGATGATGAATCATCTGATCCTCATCATCACAATAATCATAGCAACAACAACAATAATAATCATCATCCCTTACAACCACTTCATCGATTATCATTCAGTGGTTTACTAAATCCTTCTGCAACCGCATCAACACCAACAACCTCTAAACTACCGACAACCTTATCAACCGGTTCGACAGTGACCCCACCTTCAAACCCTTTTCTACCTCCAAGTTTTGCATCCTCCTTCCCTGGGGGCATGTTCTCCACCCTTGGTCTTACACCATTCGGACCCTTTACCCCGACAACGGCAAATCTAACCGTTGCTGGACTTCACCTCAACAACACAACGACAACCACCCTAGCCAACATCACTACCAACAACAATGACACAATTTTATCATCTCGAGCATCAGTTGGCTCAACCTCCAATAATAATACCTCAACACCACCTCCACCACAGCCAATAGTTACCGATGATGATGAAGATAATGATAATGAAGAAGATGATGATGATAATAATGATGATCATCATCACCATTCCTCCTCCAATCAACCACCCAAAACATCAACACCCGATTTAAATTCATCAACATCAAATCATTCAACAATTACAACACCTTCAGGTCTTTCGCTGTCAACAACAACAACCACTACACCCAACAATAATAATAACAACACTTCAACAATTACCACCGCTGGGTCGGCCTCTCCGTCAACACCTCCGCCGCTCTCGACAACACCAAGTGGCAGTTTAGCACCAACAGATACACTAGGAGTCGCTGCACCGGATCCAAACTTTTATCAAGATTTATTACCCAAACCTGGAAGTGCTGATAACTCATGGAAAAGTTTAATGGAGATACAAAAAGCATCTGAAACTCATAAATTACAACAATTAGTTGATAACATTGAACATAAATTAAGTGATTCAAATGAATGTGTAATCTGTCACCGAGTACTTTCCTGTAAATCGGCGCTTCAAATGCACTATCGGACCCACACTGGTGAGCGACCCTTCAAGTGTGAAATTTGTGATCGCGCTTTCACCACCAAGGGTAACCTTAAGACCCACATGGGAGTTCATCGGGTTAAACCTCCGCTTCGAGTGCTTCATCAATGTCCAGTGTGTCACAAACAGTTCACTAATGCATTGGTACTGCAACAGCACATTCGTTTACATCCCGTTCATTTACTTGCCTCTGAAGTTAATCGAAGTGGATCTTCCCGAGTTTCCGGTGGTGAAGGTCCAGGGGGAGGTGGTGGTGGGGTTGATGGTGGTTCTCCGGTGTTACCTCCTTCTTTTCATCATCATTCTCATCATCATCGTTCACCTTTAATGTCTCCCGCTGCAGCAGCAGCGGCGGCTGCTGTTTCCGGAGTAACGGGTAATCATTATTTACCAATGAAAGATATGATTCTATCATTGGCAAACTCATCTTCCGCCGTTGTGGTGCTCTTGACTTGACCCCACGAAATGGTTCATCGTCATCATCTGGTGTTCCAGCGGCTGCGGTGGCCGCTGCTGCTTTCGGTAT